CTGCAAGGGTAAACTCGTCATAGTGCACCGGAATAAGGGAAATCACATTGTTGTATGTTATATATATATATATATATATATATATATATATATATATATATATTGTAATTGGTGCATTACTACTTTACTAGCCTTACTCTAGTGTATTTGTAGGTTTCCATTGGTGCCAAGTTCAGGTGCGGCCGCACCAATTGTTATACAAATATAAACCATCCATATTATGAAATGCACAGCAAAAAACATACACAAATTAGATGCGAATCACCAAAAATACGCCATTAGATATGAATAAATACATCATACAGTGTTCGAGAATACACTATTGGTGTGTTTCACTGCGGTGTGTTTTATTACAATATTGGTGCATGTTGTTAACACTATTGGTGTATTCTGGAACCCAGCTGCTATAAATGGCCATTGTAATTACCATAACACCCCACTTACCAAAATACACAAAAATCCTCAAATCTTTAGAATTAGCCACTGCCGTTAGATTAAACTGATTCAACGACACAGATACGACCACACCGCCACAGCTAATGACATGACCACATATGAGCGCTTATCTCTCTCTCTCTCTCTCTCTCTCTCTCTCTCTCTATATATATATATATATATATATATATATATATATATATATATTGGAATAAGAGATTGGGCTCTCCATGGCTATTGATCCATATGTTTGAGCCAATAGGCTAATTACACAATTGTTATTGCATGGACCATAATCTAAAATTACATCATTTGATCCTTTAAAAAAAATGCACAACTTTAGTTTAACGGCATTAGGCGTGCGTTAGTCTGTTGTTTCCTTCCTAATGCTTATTTGATTTTTATTGCATAAAAGGGGTAAAACTCAATTTGGGGGCTGTTTGTATATGAATTAGATGATGTAATACCATCTAGTCATGATGTTGAATCAATTCCAGGTTTGTCTTTCAACATGCTTTGATCTATTGTGTCTAGGGTTTGTTTACAGGGTACATAATTTTTCTCCCATTATATTGTTTTTGATGCAAACCACAATGTGGTACGAGTCTTTCTCTGTCCTTTTAACGGTCCAGGTCCACCCGGTTCACTTTGAGAGGCACTGAAGCTGGCCCAGAGGGCAGGTCCACCCGGTTCACTCCGAGAGGTACTGAAGCTGGCCCAGAGGGGATCATCACTTGTGGGAATTAAACCCAGGTTATCCCGGAATTCTCCCCCACAAAGAGAGCTCATTTGCCACTTGAGCTACCCTGTTGGGTTATACTACATTATATTGTTGAACATGCTTAATGTATTTATTAGATATATTATTTATATGCTTAATGTAAATTATTTTCAGTTGATGGCACTTCTAGGGGTGCAGCAGATGAGAGTTCACCAATTGGAGTTCATGCTAGTTTTTCTAATGCTATGGATTAGAGTTCTTCAATTCTAGGTATTTTTTTTTAATTTATTTATAAAGTTTTTGATTATTATCTAATTATTATTAGTTGTTTTTTTTTTAAAAAATTATATTGATGGAATGATTTATTTTTTATTATTGTTTTTGGTGTTACAATAAAGTATTTGCATGTTCTGTTGTGAGTATTGTATTTCTGTTAGAGGTACATTATTTATATGCATTAGGTACATTATTTTAATCCATAGGGTACACTATTTTAAGAGTTTATTACTGAAATGGTCCATCGATTATTGCGAAATTACCAATTTGGTACTCGACAATTTTTTTTACCCAATTAAGTCCTTGACTTTAAAAATGTTAACCATTTTGGTCCTCCGTTAAATTTCCATCCATAAGCTGTTAAATTTAAGACAAAAAGGTAATTTCATATATGCAATCATCGGCTTTCCCTCCCCCGTCGATCTTGTATGTGCAATTTTACTCAGGGTGTGTTTGGAAACCCGGAAAATGATTTCTGGAAATCATTTTCTGGGTTTTTGGTGTTTGGCTAGGCAAACAAAAGAGAAGTCAAAGGAAAATAACTTATGGTCAATGGAAAATCACTCATCTTTTCTGAAAAATGACTTCCCCTTTTTTTTGGGGGAAGTCATTTTCCATTCTTTGGTTCATTCAATGCTCATCGCCAGTGCATCAACACGACAACACCAAAGACCATCGTTCATCCACTGCTCATCGCCACTACATCAACACGACAACACCAAAGACTATCGCCGGAGACATCGCCATTGCTGGAGGTTCATCCCCTCGCCACCGTTGATCTGCTCGTCGCCGTCGTTGATCTGCCCGTCGCCGCCGTTGATCTGCCCGTCGCCGCCGTCGATCTGCTTGTCACTGTTGAGGAAGACTGAGGAAGAAACCCAGGTCCGTCGCTGCTCTGCCCAGCCACTGCTCCGTCACCGCCGCTGCTCTGCTCAGCCATTGCGTCCGGTCATCGCCTACCACCATCGCTACTGGTCGAGAAAAAAGAAAGAGGGAGACGGAGGTTCAAAGGGCTGTTGCTTCGCCGAATCGCCGCCGAATTTGCTATCCACCGCCGCCTGGGAGAATAAAGAAAGAAAGACGTCCACCATAATTGTCGAATCCACCGTCGCCGAATTTGTTGTCCACCACCATTTCTAATTTCAATTTCAATTTCACAATTCTGCTGTCCACCACCACCAGAAATCAATTTCACCATTTCTAATTTCAATTTCAACTTCACAATTTCTAATTTCAATTTCAATTTCACTATTACAGTCGAATATGTTATGTTTGTCTAAATACTGATTTCACTATTTCTCATTTTGTGCCTTGTTTATGTATACTGATATGTTAAATAATAATAATTTATGATAATTTTGTTTTGAGTTTGTATTTCTACTCATTTTCTGGAAAATGAACCAAACACACAAAGACAGTTTTCTGTTGGGTAGCCAAACACCGGAAAGGAAAATGTTTTCCGAAAAATGACTCATTATCCAGAAAACATTTTCCAGAAGTCATTTTCATGCTTTCGTAACGGACCCTTAGTGTCGAGTTCACCGACGTTGGCTGCTTCAACTTGCCCAATTGACGGAGAACTCGATCGGTGATGAAGTTCATGGCTTTCCCACTCCAAAACCTCCGGTAAGTTGGAATTTTGAATAAAATTAAAAGGGGAAGTTTCTTTCTCGAACTTCTTCTTAATCTCTCATTCTGCCTTCGTTCCCTTCACCATAGAGAACCAACATATGATCCTCCTATATTGCCCAAGGAAAGTTCAACTAATGTATATGGCTTTTGAACTGAGACCAATTAAGAAAGCAATGCGAAGAAAAAAAATAATAGGAACAAATTGAACCATTATTATTGCTATAATGAGAAACTGCCAAATATTCTGTACTTAGACCTACATGAAGTACAATCAGTATGTATCAAGAATTTTGCGCCTCTTCTTCATACCTTCATACTCTTGATAGTTGATGGAATTAAAAATAAAAAATCCAAAACCTCCGGACGGAGAGGGAGGTGGTTGGTGATGGCGGAGACCTCCAGCAACGGAAAGCTTGGCGGTGACCTCCCTCATGCTTCCGAAGACCTATGAAGAATTAGGATTCTCTGTTCCCATGAGATCTCCTCCGCAGAACACTGAGTGAGAATCTTTGAAGGGTTTAAGGTTTCTGCAACTATGTAACAGTGGTGAATCAAAGGATGTTGTCTAGTTTGAATAGTTGAAAATAAGCAGGGAGTTGGGCTCAAGGGGAGAAGGGAATCTGGTGGATAAGTGGTGGGGAGATATAAACTGGGAGCGCGTTAGACGGACTCATGGATTTAGCTTAGTATTAGTTAGATGGCTTGTGAGCCCTGAAGTGTATTGTGGATGATAGTAATGGTTTATATTTTGTTTGGTTAGTCTAGCTTGTGCATCTAGGTTCTCAAACCTAGATGTGACATAGCACCCCGATACTTATGTTGTTAGTTCTGCTTTATTTGGATGATTAATGATAGATTTGCCTTTATTTCATAAGTTTAAATGTTTTAAAAATTAGAGGTGTTACACACTCCGACACTTATACTTAGCTTCCGTTCTATTTTGGGTATTAATGTTAGCTTTATTCTTATTTCGTAAGTTTTAATGATTTTATTTTATGCTGAAAATTGGGGGGTGTTACAATAGAGATCACTTTTGATCGGTGAATCTACTCATGAAGGTTAATGGAAGCAAGTTTGTAATCATAGTATTATATGTTGACGATATTCTTTTAGCTACTAATAATAAATGGATGTTGCGTGATGTTAAGGAATATCTTTCTAAGAACTTTGAAATGAAGGATATGGGTAAGGCTTCATATGTGATTGGAATAGAAATATTCTGTGATAAATCACAGAGGATTTTAGGTTTATCCAAGAAGGCTTACATTAACAAAGTTTTAGAAAGATATAACCTGGAAACTGCAAAGAATGTCCTACGATACTTACAAAGCACTAAGGACCACATGCTCACATATAGAAGAACGAATAACCTAAAGGTTATAGGTTATTCGTGTTAATAAGTGTTATATTCTATAGTCTTTATATTCTTTATTTATGTGGTTTAGGTTTAATTGACTTGAGCTCTCTATTAGATAGGAGAGTTTCTCGTTAGTTATCTTTTATCTGATGTAATCTCACTTTGTTGTAACTGATTCACTTAATTCAAACTCTCATCTAGTATCAGATAGGATTACGATCCCTTTTCTCTCTCCACCGGAAATCCGATCCCTCCACCATGTCTTCGCACTCATCCGAGCGCACGGTGACCGCCGGTGGCTCTCCATCGCCGGCGAACACCAACCCTCTCTCCGGCGCACACCACCACGTCTCTATGAAGCTAAACAGTCGAAATTTTCTCTTTTGACGAACTCAGCTCGTCCCCTTCCTCTGGGGGCAGGACTTGCTAGGATACGTCGACGGCTCAACACCGTGTACACCAGCAACAATTGCCGCTGCCTCGTCCGGCGACTCGGGCTCAGGTGCGACAACGACAGCCGCGGTCATTCCCAACCCAGCGCACAAAGCCTGGGTCTTGCAGGACCAGTCAATTTTATCCATGCTGATCTCCTCCAGGTCCGATGAAGTGCTCCACCTAGCAGTCGGACAGGAGACAAACGCAGAGGTATGGACGTCGATCACAACGTCCCTAGGATCCTCCACCGAAGCTCGCTGCCTCAGCCTCCTAAGCCAATTCCAGACGTTGAAGCAAGGGAATTCATCGATAGCTGAATATTTGGGACGTGCCGAGGTTCTCGTGGAAGCTTTGGCTCAAGCTGGATGGCTGCTTTCCTCCACCGAGCAGAACCTGTATGTGCTACGAGGTCTGCATCAAGATTTGCGGATTATGGCAGCATCGCTCACCGCCATCAACAACGCTGTCTCACTCCCGCAGCTGGCTGACTTCCTTCAGGCACAAGAGTTCATCATCTTTGATGAATACTCTGCAGTTGGCGACGACAATGGTGGTCACCCGACGGCCATGCACGTAGGGCGCGGTTGTGGTTCGAGCGGCGATGGCGGAAGAGGCTCCGGCTCTGGGCAGCAGTGGCGAGGCGGTCGAGGTGGTAATGGCCGGAATGGCCGTGGCGCTCCAAGGTGACAGATTTGCCGTGCTCAAGGCCACACGACAATATACTGCTATAAGCGGTATACGACACAGCCGCCGGCAGAAGCGCATGTTGCCATTGCCGGCGATCTCCCGGCGACACCTTCGGCTACATCGGCAGACGGGTGGTACCCCGACACCAGTGCCACCGCGCACGCCACGCCGGATGCGAGCATGATGTCCTGTTCGGATGAATACAACGGACCCGATGTGCTACGAGTCGGGAACGACGCAGGTTTGACTATCTCACGTGTCGGTCATGCATCGATCCCGTCCGTGTCAAAATCTTTAAGTTTGTCCAATGTGTTACATGTTCCGCGTCTGTCGGTCCCTTTACTTTCTGTTCATAAATTTACTAAAGAGAACAGTGTTTATTTTGAGTTTCATAACGACTGTTTTATTGTGAAGGATTCCAAAACTAGGGCAGTTCTGCTTAAGGAACCAACTTCTGGGGGACTATACAAGCTTCCGTTGTCAAACACCCATTTTGCGTTCGTCAGTTCCCGTGCCACACAAGACGTTTGGCACCGAAGGCTAGGTCACCCGCATGGTGTCATTCAGAACCGTATTCTAAAAGACTGTCCAGTTTCACCAAATAAGCCAAAGTCCTCGGAGTCGTGCACGGCTTGTCACCTCGGCAAGTCGTCCCGGTTTAAATTAGATAGAATTCATAAATCTAGTACCAATGTTTTAGATTTAATTTTCACTGATGTATGGGGCCCGGCTCCTGTAGTTTCTACTAGTGGCCATCGCTACTTTTTGCTATTTGTAGACGACTATTCTCGGTTCTGTTGGTTTATCCGTTACGGGTAAAATCAGACGTTTATAAAAGTTTTGAATTGTTTCGGGTGTTGGTAGAGCGGCAATTTTCGCGCTCTATCAAGTGTATCCAATCGGACTTAGGGGTGAATACAGAAAACTACACACTATATTCCAAACACTGGGCATCAATCACCGGCAGTCATGTGCCTACACACATGAACAAAACAGGCGAGTTGAGCGCCGTAATAGGCACATTGTCGAAGCGGGTCTTGCTCTACTTGCTGAAGGCTCAATACCACTTGAGTATTGGGACTTTGCCTTCGAAACTGCCACGTGTCTAATAAATTACCTACCGACACCAGTGTTAAACTTTGACAGCCCCTATTCTCGCCTACATAAAGTGTCACCTCCATACACGTTTCTTCGAATTTTCGGGTGTCAGTGCTATCCCTATCTCAGGCCATACAATCGGCATAAGATAGAATACCGCTCGGCACCTTGTGTATTCCTAGGTTACCCCCCATCCTTTAGGGGATATAGGTGCATGGACCGTTCGACTGGGAAAGTTTATATCTGTCGTCACGTGCTGTTTGACGAGACGGTGTTTCCTTTTGCAACTTGGACACCCGCCCCGTCTACACCGCTTGCTTCACTACCGTGGGCATCCGAGCCCATAGTCCCACGACTTGCCCCGATGGTCCCACCGTCTAGCATCATCCCGGTATCGGAGGCTGAACCCGTGCCCTTGGCACGTGAACCCAGGCCTCTAGCTGTCATTGCACCTCCTCGTGCCAGGACTAAACGGCGTCGTACCGAGCCCCAGGACCGAGGCCCTGTGATGCGCCTTCGTCATCAGACTCTAGGCACAGATGAACAGTTTCACGCATTACATACAACAACTGATCCTACTTGTTACTCCCAGGCTGTAGGCCATCCACAGTGGCGAGAGGCCATGGATCAGGAGTTCAATGCGCTTCTATACAACAGCACTTGGCGTTTGGTTGCACCGGAACCACACATGAATATTATTGGCTGCAAGTGGGTGTTTCGCACCAAGCGTACAGCTGATGGCTCAGTTGAGCGCTATAAGGCCCGTCTGGTAGCCAAATGGTTCAACCAAGTCACAGGCAAAGACTTCTTCGACACCTATAGTCCGGTGGTTAAACCGACCACTGTTCGGCTGCTCTTTTCTCTTGCTATTTCATCCAACTGGACAATGCGCCAGTTAGACGTTCATAACGCCTTCCTAAATGGGCATTTAGCCGAAACTATGTACATGAAACAGCCGCCTGGTTACGAAGATCCAGCACACCCGGATCACGTATGCCATCTGCAGCGCTCGCTATATGGGTTGAAGCAGGCCCCACGGGCTTGGTTCAAAAGGCTACATGATTTCTTACTTCTTGTAGGATTTGCCTCGTCAAAAACAGATGTCTCTTTGTTCCACTACACATCAGGCACATCTCGGATATTTTTGCTAGTATATGTTGATGACATCATCATGATGGGGAATGATGCTGTGTTAATCAACACTTTGCTACAACGTCTCGCATCCACCTTTAAGATCCGTGATCATGGAAGACCTGGCTTCTTTTTGGGAATCGAAACTATATCTACAGATAATGGGTTCATTCTCTCTCAACGACGGTACATGATAGACTTACTCAACCGTGCTGGGATGCTTGACTGTAAATCACTCACTACACCTGCGGCCGTCACAGCATCAGCAATCTCTTTAGCAACCTCATATGAGAACCCAACGCACTACCGGCGTATCGTTGGGGCACTACAGTATTTGACGATCACACGGCCAGATTTGTCCTACTCCGTGAATCGCCTGTGTCAGTTCATGCATTCACCGACTGATGAACATTGGGGCATGGCAAAACGGGTGTTACGCTACATAGAGGGCACTATTAGTTTTGGCTTACGTATCACTCCGTCGGCTTCTACGGCTATACAGGCTTTCTCAGACTCAGACTGGGCGGGTTGCCCAATTGACAGGAAGAGCACCAGTGGTTACGCTGTGTTTCTCGGCTCCAATCTAATATCATGGTTATCCAGGAAGCAACGAAAGGTCGCTCGATCATCCACAGAAGCTGAGTACAAAGCTCTCGCCGATGTCTCCGCAGAGGTTACTTGGGTTGTTTCTCTGCTCTGTGAACTAGGGCTTCACTCTTCCGAACCGGCTACTCTCTGGTGTGACAATCTTGGGGCGAGGTATCTATGTGCAAATCCCGTGTTTCATGCAAGGACAAAACACGTCGAGATTGATTATCACTTCGTCCGAGATAAGGTTGCCTCGGGAGACTTCGTGGTCAACTTTGTATCTACCAAGGACCAGCTAGCAGACATCTTCACCAAACCACTCACGGGACCCAGATTCACGCTTCTTTGCGACAAGCTCAATGTCGTCTCGCACCAACCTTGAGCTTGAGGGGGTGTGTTAATAAGTGTTATATTCTATAGTCTTTATATTCTTTATTTATGTGGTTTAGGTTTAATTGACTTGAGCTCTCTATTAGATAGGAGAGTTTCTCGTTAGTTATCTTTTATCTGATGTAATCTCAGTTTGTTGTAACTGATTCACTTAATTCAAACTCTCATCATTCGGACTTAGACTATGTCGGATGTTTGGATACCCGAAAATCCACATTCGGATATATTTTTCCACTTGCTCATGGAGCAATATCTTTGATGAGTGCGAAGGAGTGTATCATTGCTACTTCCACTATAGAGGCATAAATTGTAGCATGCTTTGAGGCTACAATTCAATCATCATGGCTGCGTAATTTCATTTCTGGTTTGGGCATTGTCGACACTATAGACAGACCATTGATGATTCATTGTGATAATATGGCAGCTGTGTTCTTCTCAAAGAATGATAGATATACTAGTGGTGCCAAGCACATGGATTTGAAATTTCTGTCTGTTAAGGAGGAGGTACAAAATCAAAGAGTATCAATAGTGCATATTGGCACCGATCTTATGGTCGCGGATCCGTTGATTAGGGAATTGGCGCCCATGACCTTCATTGGCCATGTTGGAAAGATGGGCATACGGGTAAAGTCCTAAAAGAAGGTTTCACATTCCTAAATGGATTTCTATTCCTAAAAGAAGGTTTCACATTCCTAAAAGAAGGTTTCACATTCCTAAAAGAAGGTTTCACATTCCTATAGTGATTTCTATTCCAAAAAAGAAGTTTCTCATTCCACTAGAAATAGAATTTCTCATCACATCTATAAATACCTATAAAAACTCTAGGGATGATGAAAGTTTTATAGTCTCTAAGTTTTCCAGTCTCCATATCATCAGAGAGGTGAAGCATTATTGATGTATTCAATTCAAAGATTACATCTCTAACAGAACATGTAAGTTTTATCTTTATTTCTGTTTAATTAAAAATCCATGATCATGAACATTGTTTAGTTGATTGATTTGATTTACATGCGATTCATTGGTAATTGTGCTTTCGTATTCAAGTTATAAGCGCATAAACGCTAAATGTCAGCCTTATATGTTCAATTTTGTACTAGTGGATTATTTAACAAAGGGTTTCGCATTCCGATGTTGATGGATCTTGCGGGGAATTATTGGTACGTAGCCATGTTATCAAAGGTCAATGAAAGAACCAGATGATATGCGTTGGTATAGAAGAACTTTTTGAGCAAGTTCAAGATCCGGCCTCTTCGCTACTTCGAATGCACGAGAAATTCAAATTTGATGAATAAAATTAAAGGAACAATTATCAAAAGTCTCGATAACAAAACAAAGGGTCAACTTCACCATCTTATATATCTACTATCTACTATCTATCTACTATCTACTATACTAATAAGAGCCCAAGAGAGTTAGGCCTATAATGGGTAGAAAAAATGGCGGTCAAATTTTTTAATCAAATGAATGGCTCAGATTGATCAGATTTTAATTTTTTCTTAAGATTTCCAAATTTATCCTTAATGAATATGATTATCCGTTAACTTTTCTGTTAAATATTATATTTTCCGTTCATTTCTGTTAGTTCACCGTTAACTTACTCATTGATTTCAATAAGAAAGGTTTTAGGTTCAAACCTCATCCCAATCAAAGTTGGCATAATTAGTACTCTATTTTATTCTTATTAAATTAAATAATAATTTAGTAGCTACAACAAAAGATAATACATATGCATTGCTTTAATTTAGAATTATGTGTCTACAATGTCTTTATTCAAAAAAAATTTATTCATTATCAATAAATACATATGCATTTCTTTAATTTAAAATTATGTGTCTACAATGTCTTTCTTCAAAAAAAAAATATTCATTATCAATAAATTAAATAAGAGAAATAATTTCATTAGTTATATTGTCTTTATTTTTCTCCAATATAAAAATTCTTTACATTCAAATTCATCAATTGATTATATTCGCTACATTGTCCCTACAATGTCTTTATTAAAAAAAAAATATTCATTATCAATAAATTAATTAAGAGAAATAATTTTATTAGTTATATTGTCATTATTTTTCTCCAATGTAAAACTTCTTTACATTCAAATTCATCAATTGATTATGTATATTCACTACATTGTCTATTATCTTTTTTGTGCACTACATTTTAATTAAATATCAAAGTTATAATACAATTCTACTATATATATACTAATAAGAGCCCAAGAGAGTTAGGCCTATAATGGGTAGAAAAAATGACGGTCAAATTTTTTTAATCAAATGAATGGCTCAGATTGATCAGATTTTAATTTTTTCTTAAGATTTCCTAATTTATCCTTAATGAATATGATTATCCGTTAACTTTTCTGTTAAATATTATCTTTTCCGTTCATTTCTATTAGTTCACCATTAACTTACTCATTGATTTCAATAAGAAAGGTTTTAGGTTCGAACCTCATCCCAATCAAAGTTGGCATAATTAGTACTCTATTTTACTCTTATTAAATTAAATAATAATTTAGTAGCTACAACAAAAGATAATACATATGCATTTCTTTAATTTAGAATTATGTGTCTACAATGTCTTTATTAAATTTTTTTTTATTCATTATCAATAAATACATATGCATTTCTTTAATTTAGAATTATGTGTCTACAATGTCTTTATTCAAAAAAAATTATTCATTATCAATAAATTAAATAAGAGAAATAATTTCATTAGTTATATTGTCTTTATTTTTCTCCAATATAAAAATTCTTTACATTCAAATTCATCAATTGATTATATTCGCTACATTGTCCCTACAATGTCTTTATTAAAAAAAAATTATTCAGTATCAATAAATTAATTAAGAGAAATAATTTTATTAGTTATATTGTCTTTATTTTTCTCCAATGTAAAAATTCTTTACATTCAAATTCATCAATTGATTATATATATTCACAACATTGTCTATTATCTTTTTTTGTGCACTACATTTTAATTAAATATCAAAGTTATAATACAAAATAATGTTATATATTTATTTACCAAGTATTCTATTAATACCATGAAAAAATTAAAAAAATATAATTAATAAAGCCAATCATATTAACTACTTGAGGGATTTGTTGACAAAGAGAGTATTCAAATCACACAACAAATTGAAATGAGAACTACCTCGCAATGTCCTTGTTTGACAATCAGCAGTTAGCGGTTAGCGTTAGCGGATTTGACCAGCGAATTATATCAACAGTTGGTAAAAAGATACTCCGTATTTGAAAAAATTAGCTGTTTAGATTAACATGTAAAATGACCTAAGGGTATACATATATTTAATAATATTAATAATAGTAATAATAATAATAATAATAATAATAATAATAATAATAATAATAATAAGCAACAATGCATATACAATTATTGACAAAAAGAGTATTCAAATCACACAACAAATTGAAGTAAGAAACTACCTTGCAATGTCTTTGTTTGACAATCAGCAATTAACTCTTCAATATTAGTATATATTTAATATTTTATGCCCTAATTTTTATTTGTTCTCCCTTATATCTCATATTTGGTTTCAACCATACATATACAATTATTTTATTGACAATTATAGTCAATCTTGACTATATTATCTTGCATTTGTAAACATAGAATTACCTATTTAAATACGCAAATTCAACATTCAATTATCTATGCATGAACAATTCCAATATAATATTGTATTGATATACTTTAAAATACTTATTTAAAAAAACATTGGGCATTATCTCAATCGCTATTGCGCGTAAAAAACTAGTACAAATATAAACAACTCTTACGTGCAGTCATGCAGACTATTTTTTTTGTCCAGGTCCACCCGGTTCGCTCCGGGAGGCACAAAAGCTGGCCCAAAGGGAATCGTCACTTGTGGAAATCAAACCCGAGTTATCCCAGAATTCTTCCCCACAAAAAGAGCTCATTTGCTAGTTGAGCTACCCTATTGGGTTGTCATGCAGACTATATTATTGAACCAAAACTATATATGGAAGTAAATAAAAAGAAATATTGAGGCATGATCCTCTAAACCAAAATAATAGCGCAAGCCTTTCCTTGTGAGTACAATCAGCCATAAATGAAAGATTCATCCTTCCTTTCCTTATGAATGCGAGTTGACCTTCGCAACTCGTTCGGGTCTTGGGTTGTTTAGTTGTGGGGTTGTATCAAATTATTAAAATTATCATTACGCATCAAGGGCCTTAGAAAATAAGGTTGAATTTTACGTATTACTGGTCGTCCACAGTTGAAATGAGCAGTGAAACCTGTCTCCTTGTCATACCACACCCAGCCGCCTCTCCTAGAAATTCCACCATTGCACTTACTGCACCAGACACTAGCCCCCGCTGGGAACGAGAAGTATAGATGCTGGCTCTGCCATTCGGTTATAAGAGCGCAATCTACATGCAGGTCATAATCGCATATGCTGCAGCGGTAGAAAGGGGTGTTTGCTGGAGAGAGGCAAGCGTCGCACATATTGCGATCAGAGGATGGAGGGTGGAGGTGGAGAGGGTGCGCAGGGTGATGAGATATGTGATGGATTTGAACCTTCATTTTGAGGCAGTCTTCGTCGTGGATGAAGAAGTCGCAAGCTTCACAGCCATGGGCAAAGCCGTCGATCGGCAAGCTGCAGATGCTGCAGTTGGTTTCGTCCTGGATTTCGAGCTTGAATTGGTAGAGGGGGTGAGGGTGGGAGGCGTGGTTAATCTTTTCGACGCCCAAGTCCGCTGGGTCTCCCAACACAGTAGCCACTTTGGGATGAGGGTCATTCCATGTACCCTCAATACACACCAACGACGGGCTTGATGATGAAGATAAATTTGGGCGTCTATTCATCATATATTTTAATTTCTTTTTTTCTTAATTTAGTTGTGAAAGGAGTGTTGTTGTGTATAGCGGATTTCACTTTCTGTATTATTTATAGAGTGTTACGTTGATGATTTGAAATATATGTTCGATTCTATCTATAAGAGTATATAAGATAAGAAGATAAAGTAAAACATATGCTCTTATTTTTGGACGCAGAATAATTAAATCAATTGGCCTGGGCGACATTGAAATTTAAGAGGCAAGAGTCAAATAGTTCTATCTACTACTCACAAGTGGTCAATTAACCATTTTGATACAAAATAAGAGCTATTTAGATACAAAACTTCTTAAAAATTTTGTATTTACCATTTTTTTTCAGTTCCATCAGGTTTTGATGACATGTCGTCCAGTTAAGCTGATCGATGTGGCTAGTAAAATAATTTTTTATTTTTGACATGGTGTTCAACAAAATAATATTTTCTTTGACATGGCTTCAATCCATCGAAAAGTTCTAATAGATGAAATTTGGTCTTTCCAACCAAAAAATCACAGTCATACCCCTCCTGAAACGATTTCAAATACATTTACTAAATGGGTCTTTCCAAAAATTACACAAATGTAAAAATAATATACATATTTGCACCTTACCTTCCATCTTTGACAACCAAAAATTTTCATCCGTGAATCACGAGTTGTGCAAATTGGGACTTTCAATCCACAACGATTGTACATCGTAGGCTCATACTCCAAGTTTTTTTCGCGCTCCTAATGAAGTTGAAGATGAAGACATTTCAAATCAAGAAGACTAGCGAAGTAGATACGATTTTGAAAAGATGAAGCTGAAGAAAGAAGTCGAAGATGGGTTTGAGAAGACAAAGCTTAAGAAATTAAAGAAACTAAGCCGAAGATGAAGAACAAACTGATAGGGTTTGCTTGGTTTTAATTTATAGCCTTAACAAATTCTATCTCAACAAGACAAAAACCTTTTTTTAATTAAATTTTCATGTCAGTTTCATATGGACTTGCAATCTAATAGAACCTGAAAAAATGATGTATGAAAATTTTTTAGGAGGTTTATGTATCAAATTAGCTCTTATTTTAAACCAAGGTTAATTGAGCAAACTTTTAAGAAAACAATGGTTTGCTTGTATCCATAAAACCATAGCACTTGCGTGCTTTGGGTAATCTGATCTGAACTGTACTATTCCTACTACACTAGCAAAAACATGTATGGTAAAATTAGACAATAATTTTATGCACCGCGTGCGGAGGAGATTAGCCATAAAATGCACTCATGCATCTATCTACACATCATTTGAAACATCTAATCATATTACCAAAGTGATTAATTTCAATTCACCATCAGCCCATTCAAACCTATTAATTAACCCTATGAATATAATTTATGTAAATTATATTTCAAATCTTGTCAAATTGAATACATATTACTATGTCAAAAATTATAGTTAATACTGACTCCACACACATGTCTTCAAGATACCAATTGTTAGGATTAAATTCTTCCACGACGCTAAAAGTTATAATTATATTCATAGCAAATGCCTAACTTTATTTATATATATTTGCATAACAGCCAACGTCGTCATATTTCAATAAAGATGGTGAACTTGACCCGACCTCAAAAAAAAAAAAAATAATAATAATAATAATAATAATTCTTAAATACCATCCAATACAATCACATATATAGTGGTAAATAATGGATATTTTATAAGCAGAAAATTCATATTCTGATGTGGGATCGGACATAAATTAAACCAATATGCCTTATGTCTGTCCTATTCCCTTACTGATTGAGATGTTAAGATTCTTAATTATTTAGGCTAGGATTGTAGACTATATATATGACCAACCACCTGTGTACAAGTACAAATACCCTGGTTGCTTCAACCAAAAGCAACACAAATAACCCTAATCACACAACCCAAAGTTTAAATTAAATTCGCACTTGCACAACAAAGGCTTCTAAAAATTCCTATGACTGTTGGGAAATCATTCAATAAATTCTTGGTAATGAGTTGTAGGGAGTTTGTTAATAAACTCCATCCTTTTTCACTTTTTCTTGTGGCTATCCTCTAATTATATTATTTGTGGCTTACTTTTAATAAGTTTAGTTTCTGGTTAAAATGTAGAGGTTAGTCAAAGTCCTCTAGTGTATAAACCCTATCTCATTTGTATGAAGACACATCAGACAACCTTCTTCCTCTCCTTTGTATGCTTCCCTAACTCTGAGCAATAGTCAGGTTCGTCTACGTTTAAGCTGGTGCAAGCTTAGCGTGGTTATTCTATGTTGTTTACTCTCGAAAACATACCAATTTATCTTGACTGCACTGTTATCGGACAAATAACACTTTTAAGACAATGATATATAACACGACACAGACTCCCTAACACCATTACTTGTTCTTATTTCCTAAAATCATTATTTTAATTTCACCAGATCAGAATAATCTTGTCCTGAGTAGGTAACGCATCACGTGCCTTAGAAAACAAGTGTTCACTTTATATTGTATTGGTCGTCCACACATGAAATGAGCAGTGTAACCTGGGTCTCCCCAGACGGCCAGACAGCAGCCACTTCGCGCTCAGGGTCATCCCAAGTACCCTCAATACACACCAACTGACTTGATGATGAAGATAAATTTTGGCGTCTATTCATTTTTTTTTTTCTCAACTAGTATTTGCGCCCGTGCGATGCACGAAATGGATTTGTTGTAATATATTAAGAATATTTGGATCGATATATAATTATTTAAATTAAAACATCAAATATTATATAGTGCAATTGAATGTATGGTTTGGTCATTTATGTGTTTTTATGTTATTAATTGCTCAAATTAATAGCTAATATGTAGATGTACGCATGCGGTGCTGTAACTTTGGAGATTTTATTTATCATTGTTCAGTACTTTTATAAATTAGTCAAATGTGCTCGTTCTCTAGCAACTCAGTTATAAAAATGAATTGATATCCTAATTTTTTTTTTTTTTGAAAATAATTGATATCCTAATTTATTTGTATGGAAAATATATTTTTTGTCTAGATATATAGCAATTTTTCCATTTAAAAAAACATAATATCACGAATTGTATTTACATACTATTGAAACCTCTTTGTAGACAACATTGGTAGTAACAACACAATCTTGTCTATCTTCGTCTAGAGCTAACACCTTTAGTCCAAAAGGATGGGTGACTCGGGTGAAAATATATAATGGTAGAATTTCAGTCAATTAGTGATCCTTTTATATTTTCAGTCAATTAGTAATATCAAATTCATTTTCAGTCAATTATTCTTTTTTATTTTTACTTTTTTTTTAGTCAATTAGTCAATTAGAATATTAGATGCATTGATATTTTTACCTAATTTCTGTTCCAGTTATAATTGATAATGTAGAATATTTTTATTAAAATATTTTCGTTGTATTTTTAATTTAATTTTACTATTGTTTAAAGGAATAAAGTTCAAATTGGCCACTGAACGTAACTTGAAAATGCAATTAGGCCACTGAACGAACAAAAAGTGCAATTAGGCCACTGAACATTCCAAAAACGTGCAATTAGGCCACTGAATTCTCCAAACGAATGCAATTTCACCGGATAGCAGGTTACCATCAATTTTAGCAGGTTACCTGCTTACGTGGCAGCTGAGTTGGCATTTTTAATAATTTTTAAATAATTTTTAATTAATTTTAATAATAAATTTTATAAAAAATTGAAAAATAAATTAAATAAAAAATAAAATAAAGGCGTTTTTATTTTTTAAAAATTTTTTAAAATAAAAATTTATTATTAAAATTTATTAAAAATGATTTAAAATTTATTAAAAATGCCAACTCAGCTGCCACGTAAGCAGATAACCTGCTAAAATTGAGGGTAACCTGCTATCAGGTGAAATTGCACATTTTTAGAGTGTTCAGTGACCTAATTGCACTTTTTTTTTCGTTCAGTGGCCTAATTGCATTTTCAGGTTACGTTCAGTGGCCAATTTGAACCTTATTCCAAAATTAAAATATGCATTTACTATTGATGATGTAGAATATTATTATTGAAATATTTTCGTCCAATTTTTAATTTCTGTTCCATTTTTTAATTAAAATGCAATGATCTGCCAATTTATTTTTTCATTTCAATTATGGATCATTTTTTATTTGTAGTCAATTATTAATATTCATTTCCTTTTATAATTTCAGTCAATTACTAATATCAGATTCATTTTCAGACAATTATTCTTTTTTATTTTCAGTCAATTAGTTAATTAGAATATCAGATGCAGTGATATTTTTACCTATCTGAACAATTTTTAATTAATAATGTA